GGGGAGGGGGGGCGACATTTTAGTAAAAAAAAAAATAAAAAAAGAAGCTTTAAAACCCACAAAAAGAAAAAAAAAAAAAAAAAAAAAAAAAAAAGGGAGGACGGTAAGGAAGCAGAACATCATTCCATGGAGGAATCCAGACTTAATGTTATATCTTCATACCCAACATTCCAGCATTTTAGGCAGGAGGATCATAAATTCAAGGCCAAACTGGGCAAGACCTTGTCTCAAGAAAATGAAAAAGCAAAGTTGTGAGACCTGGAGGCTGGAGCAGCAGTGAGTGGCCCAGCCTGGTTGGCAGCAGTCAGAACTGTTTGGAAGAAAAGGTGGCCTTTGGAACAGAACTCCTGAGTCAAGCAGCAGCCAAACCCTGCAAAGAAACATCTTGAAATATCAACAAAAGTGTGCTTCGTGTTAATGTGTTGTACAAATACCACATTGTGTTGCAGTAGTTTAAGTTCCAACTGTGATAGTCATGTTTTCTGCACCTTAAAGGCACCTTTAAAACAAATAGGATGCTAGGCATGATGGCACATGCTTATGATCACAGCACTAGGTAATCTGAGGCAGGAGAATCATAAATTCAAGGCCAGCCCAAGCTACATACTGAGATACTATCTCTAGAGGCCCAAATAATATGGATATTTTGCATTTCCACGGTACCTATGAACATTGGTACATTTCAGTTTGAAGGTGTTGATGGCCAATGGAAAAGGTCCAAGGAACAAGAGGAAGAAGTATGTTTCATCTAGCCACCCAGGGGTCATTGTGACCAGGCCTCTGTCTCTGTTGTAGACCTGAAGGCTGAAATTGACAAGTTGGCCACTGAATATATGAGTAGCGCCCGCAGCCTGAGCTCGGAGGAAAAATTGGCCCTTCTCAGACAGATCCAGGAAGCCTATGGCAAGTGCAAGGAATTTGGTGACGACAAGGTGCAGCTTGCCATGCAGACCTATGAGATGGTATGGCCCTGTTCATGGCTCCCCACCTACTTCCTATCTAATCCTCGGGGTCTTAGACCCATCCTTCAGCGTGTTGGGCTCTGTTTTGGGTCTGGGAGATCCATAGATTTTTTTTTTTTGCCTTAGCCTCTTTCCTTTCATTGGAACCAGCCTTGTACCTCTCTCCCTTCTTCCTTCCCCCACAGGTGGACAAACACATTCGGCGGCTGGACACAGACCTGGCCCGTTTTGAGGCTGATCTGAAGGAGAAACAGATCGAGTCAAGTGACTATGACAGCTCTTCCAGCAAAGGCAAAAAGAGTGAGGAGGGGGGCGGGCAAGGACCCAGAGGGAGCAGAGCCAGCTCTTCACCGGTGAGGGAGTAGCACCAAGTTGGAACGGGGATAATGAGGACTTAACCCACCTTTCTGTCTCTGCCTTCTGGCTTATCCTTCCTTCCTAGAAGGTCGGACTCAAAAGGAGAAGAAAGCTGCCCGTGCCCGTTCCAAAGGGAAAAACTCGGATGAAGAAGCCCCCAAGGCTGCCCAGAAGAAGTTAAAGCTTGTGCGCACGTGAGTATACCAGAGGACACCCACCTCCTACCCAGCACTGCCTCTTGCCACCTTTCCTGTCTTCTGTGCCAGTAACGCTGTTTATCATTGTGCTGTCTGCTGGGTAGAGAAGAAGCCACGTGCCTCACCACCATCTGCTGCCACCTCTGAGAGCTCAGGTTGTAGCTTCCCTTCCTGCACATGACACTTTCTCTTCCTCTTGGCATGCAGAAGTCCTGAGTATGGGATGCCCTCAGTGACCTTTGGCAGTGTCCACCCCTCTGATGTGTTGGATATGCCTGTGGATCCCAACGAACCCACATATTGCCTTTGTCACCAGGTCTCCTATGGAGAGATGATCGGCTGTGACAACCCAGATGTGAGAACCATTTGCCTCAGGATTAGGGGAGGGGCTCTAAGGGGCGGGAGGAAGTATAAAAGGTTAGTGGCCCATAATGGAAGAGAGGGACCTCAGAACAGGATGGTGGCTAGAGCTGGGGGGCCTTGAGACTTTGATAAGTCTCCAAAAGACTGGAATAAAGGCACTTCTAGGCATCTGTGGAGGGCTTTCCTTTCTTCTTCTACCTTCCCCAGGCCGCTGACTGCTACATTCCATCTTCCCTTTCCAGTGTTCCATCGAGTGGTTCCACTTTGCCTGTGTGGGGCTGACAACCAAGCCTCGAGGGAAATGGTAAGTGACCAAGCTGAGCTGTGGCAGGAGCTGACTATCCCAAAGCCAAGTGGCAGAGGGCACTCACCCTTCACTTTCTCCTTGCCTTGCCCTTCCATGTTGGTTTCTAGGTTTTGTCCACGCTGTTCCCAAGAACGAAAGAAGAAATAGGATTCCTTGGAGTCCATCGCAGATTCTTCCACATCCCCTGACCTAGGCTAGTGGGCAGAGGAATGCCTGTACTGGGGACTGGGGTCCGGGGAGATGTCGACATGCCGTACCAACGGTGCAGTACCGTCATCCCTTCTCCTCCCCCTCCCCACTCCCGGTGCTGAGGCTGCATCCTAAACCCGGTAGGGAGGGTGTAGCAGCCGCTGATGGTATGTGCTCTCATTTCACCCTCTCCTTCAGAGGGAAAGGATCTTGCTCCCTGTCCTTTTGCCTCTATGCTGAGGTTGGTGCTGTATTTCAGAGGGAGGGTCCTTTTCATTCTCCTTGCTTTGTATTTAAGGACTGGGGCAGTGGAGTCTCCTTAATCCTCCCCTCCTTGGCGGGGACTAGGTAGGATAAACTATCTTCTCCATTCTTTTTTCATGGTGAGAAATCCTCTAGATCATTTGGGCTCTGACCTAATTGAAGGGTCATCCCTTCCTGTATGCCACAGGGATTCATCCTGGCCTTGAATGGGAGAGGGGCAAGGTGGAACACAGATAACTCATATGTAAAAGGAGTTTGGGTAGGTAAATAAAAGCTATACATGTTGACCTGCTGTGTTTATTGTACAGACACTTATTTCCATACCTGTGCTAAACATTTCTTGCATTTTCTGGGTTGGATGAGAGGCAACCAGGAGGATGGTTTTCCAGAAGAGGACAAGGAAACCGTGTGTGGTACTTACAGTGAGTGGTACCCACAACTTCTCCACTTGGAGAAGTACCAGAGACCAGAGGTCTCAGAACTTTGTAAATTATGCATCTATTCTCCATGAAACACTTTTCACTTAATTTCCAATAAATCATGTATTTGCATTATATGTGTGTACTGTGTTACTATTGATTTCTAATTTTAAGTACAAAATAGGGAGCTGGAGAGATGGCTCACAGTTAAGAACACTTGCTGGCCTTGCAGAGGACCCACATGCAGCTTACAACCATCTATAATTCCAGTTTCAGGGGATCCAACACCCTCTTCCGGCCTCCAAGGGCACTGCACATGCAGGTGGTGCATATATATGCAGGCAAAGGTGTGCATGCAGCCATACGTATGCCGGCAAACACATAAAAATAAATCACTCTGCAACACCACAACAAATACAAAATAGACCCAAAGCAAATATATTCTTCCCACACCCTGATGAACTGTGTTGGGAGCTGAATATCCAGGGCTGCCAGGTGCAGGCTGCCTGCCCCACCCCCCAGCAGCCAACAGGATATTGGCAAAGCCTATCCTGGTAAACACAGGGTAGTGGCACAGGCAGTTCAGCCCCTGGGGAGCAGCTAAGGGGATATTGGCAAGACCTGTCCTGGCTGACCTGGCCTATATACAGGTCAGTCTCTGATAGTCATTCTCCACGTGCATGTTTTTCTCTTTGTAGTTCTGCTTGGATGGTGCTTATACAGGTACATATTAACGAATGCCAACCGTTTGCAGGTACATGCCTTTGTCTTAGAAGTTGTGCTTGCCTACTGCTGGCGCAAGTGCCTGTGATTAGTGAAACTGATTATTGAAACTGTGTGGTTCAAAAGAACTTGTGGTTTTGTGCTATATTTTTATAGTAGATTCTTTCCTGCTTTAAGGCAAGGTCTAAAAACATTGTCATCCTGCAATAAAGTACCTGCATGGTCATCAGCCTTCAGATCCTCCTGATCCCAGCTGTTTCTGTGTCTTTTTTCCTTCATCCCCTACCCTTCCCACTCAGATTTTAGGATGCCCTGCAGCTAGCTGGACTGCAGCAGAACTCTCTTGGTCCCCTCCCTCTCGGGACATTAAGTCCCTTGGACAAATGAACCGTCCTTATTTGGGTTCACCCTGATCAACCCTGCACTCATTTTCCCTTTGGGCCTGTTTTTTCCCTAGTGATGTCTCCCCTAGCTCTTGCCTAGGTTGTCCCTGCCTTTATTTCAGATATCCCAGCTCTACTGCCCAGAGAGCCCTGCCTGTGCTCACATCAGGGCCTCCATGAGACTGGATGCTTTGCTTCCCTAAATCCAGGTTTATCTTGAATGCTAACACACATCTAGGGTTACTCTGACAGGCGAGGCACTAGGTTCAATCCCCAGCAGCGCAAAGATAAATTCAGAGCAGTACTCATCAGCACAGGGCCTCCTCTGTTGAAGATCCACCTGAGGAGCTGCTGTTGCCTTCCCACTCTACTGCAGGCAACTGGTACAGCGCCCCGGGTAGTCTCGAGGCCTGGCCTCGTACCCGCCTTCTGTGACGTGGCAGCGGCAGCGGTATCCTTACTCCCGAGTTGCCAGCCCGCGACACCGGCTCCGAAGGTTGGCCCGTTGAGGCAGCTTTGGTCTGAAAACGCGGGTGGGTCTTCTCGAGCCATGAGGACACTAGATGCTGGCTTCCTTCTGCTCCTGGAGGGTGAGAAGCAGCCACCTGCCCTGAGACTCACAGGCCTGGCCCCCTGAGAATCCTTTTCCATGGGTTCCAAGGTGGTGGTCCCATTTGGCCACTTGCTGGCTTCGGAGAGGTTGGACCTTTGTCTCTACCCCTAGAAACCTCACATTCTGGTCATCAGGCAGCCCCCAGGCCTTAGTTCACACGGGGCCTACTTGCCAGGCTGGGCTTGACCCCTGGGACCCAGGTATGTTTTGGGGTGCGGTCTCTCCATGTCTTCCCCACCTCCCCGCAGTGCTGCTTCCGCCTGTGACACCTGCCCCAGCTGAGGCGTCTTCTTCGTCCTCCAATCCAGGCAGCCCTCTCTCTTCCCTTGAATATGAACGTTTCTTCGCCTTGCTGACCCCAACCTGGAAGGCAGAGACCACCTGCCGCCTCCGTGCAACCCATGGCTGCCGGAACCCCACTATCCTCCAGTTGGACCAATATGAAAACCACGGATTAGTACCAGATGGTGAGGGGCCAGACCAGTGGGAAAACCGAGGCACCCAGAGAAAACTTAGACTCGAGGCAAAAGCTTTGTGGTCAAGTCGGGGGGGCGGGGGGCGGTGGTGGTATGGCTGGCAGCTCACCCCAGAGCTTGCTCTCGGAGACCTTAACCTGGGTCCTGGCCCTGGCCTTCCCATATTTACCTTCTCTATGAGCTTCCCGTTTCTCAGGTGCTGTCTGCTCCGACCTTCCTTATGCCTCCTGGTTTGAGTCATTCTGCCAGTTTTCTCAATATCGTTGCTCCAACCATCTCTACTATGCCAAGGTGAGAAAGGTTGGATCTGATGACTTAGGGCTGAGGTAGAGGCTGTGGGAGTGGAAAGTTGAAGAAGGGTCCCATCTTTGAATCCATCTTCCCTGCCAGTTTGCCATCATCTGCCTAGATTATGTGTGAATACAGTATCACTTTGGACTGTCATGCAATCTGAACAACCCTTGCTATGAGTATTCTCTGAGGCAGGGATAAGCCCCTCCGTTTCTTCTGAGGGGGTCTCTGATTTTATTCGAGTCAGATGGGAAGAGTGAAGGCAGAGATATAGCTTAAAGGATCCCGACAGGGACCATGTTCCTTCAGCCCTGCCCAAGAACTGCAAAAATGGGACTTGCTTGGAGAGGAAACTGCTGGGGGCAGGAGTGGTCAGCACTTTGGGAAAACCATCCCCATTTTCCTTCTCTCCCCACAGAGAGTCCGGTGCTCCCAGCCAGTCTCCATTCTTTCCCCTAACACTCTCAAGGAATTGGAGTCTTCATCAGAAGTTGCTCCCACCACCATGACCTCTGCCATGGCATCCCATGCTACAGGTAAGACCTTCCAGCATTGGGAGAGCACTATTCCCAGGGCCCCAGATATAAGGCATTGGTGGTAGAGAGAATGATAAATTGGGGAGGAGGGACTTTTCTTTCTTGTTTTTTTTTTTTGTTTGTTTGTTTGTTTGTTTGTTTTTTGGTTTTTTTTTTTTTTGACACAGGGTCTCCTTGTAGCTCCAGCTGGCCTGGAACTCGCTATGTAGACCAGGCTGGCCTTGAACTCCCAGAGATCCACCTGCTTCTGTCTCCCAAGTGCTGAGATTAAAGGCATGAGCCACCATACCTGCCTGGACTTTTGATTCTTACAAAACATGTTAGAGCTCTTCTATCACAGAGTATCTTTCACTATTACTTAGGGTCTTTGCCTGAATCCAATTTTATGTGTACAGGTGTTTTGCCTGCATCACATGTGTGGAATGCCCACAGAGGCCAGAAGAGGGTGTCAGAGCCCCTGAAACTGGAGTTAGGGATAATTTTTAGCTGCCTTGTAGGTGCTGGGAACCGAACCCTTGGTCCTCTGGAAGAACAGTCAGTGATCTTGACTGCTGCTGAGCCCTCTCTCCAGCCTCTGCCTGAATCCCATTTTTCCTAGTTCCAAAGACATTCCAGAATTAAAAGCCCTCCCGGGGAGCTGGAGAGATGGCTCAGTGGTTAATAGCGTATACATCTCTTACAGAGGACCTGGAGTTTAGTTCCCAGCACCCAGGTTCATGGGCTCACAACTACCTGTATCTCTGGCTCCAGGCAATCCACCACCCTCTTCTGATCTGCACACACACACACACACACACACACACACACACAATTAAAAATTAAAAATTAGGGACTGCAGAGATGTCTCCAGCAGTTAAGAGCGTTGGCTGCTCTTGCAGAAGATCAGGGTTTATTTCCCAGCACCCACATGGTAGCTAACAACCATCTGTAACTCCAGTTCCAGGAGATCCAACATCTTCTGGCTTCCACAGGCATTGGTGCACTTAAATACATGCAGGAGAAACACTCATACATTCAAAATAAAAAAATGAATAAATAAAAAAATTTACAGTTAATTTCTTTCTTTTTTTTTTTTTTTGGTCATTTTGAGACAGGGTCTCCCTGTAGCCCCAGCTGTCCTGGAACTCACTATGTAAGGTGCCCGGCAATTTTTTTAATTAAAAAAGAAAGGCCCTCTGGGCCTTTTTTCTTTTCTTTTTTTTTTCTATTTTGAGACAGGGTCTCACTGTAGCCCCCCTCCCCCGGCCTGGAACTCACTATGTAGACCAGGCTGCCCTTGAACTCACAGAGATCCGCCTGCCTCTTCCTCCCAAGTGCTGGGACTATAGGTGTGTGCCATCACACCAGCAAGAAAAGCCCTCTGAGCCTTTTATAAGCTACTGTCTTCATTTTATAAAGTATTTAGACTGGGATTATAGCTTAATACTAGAACATATGCTTAGCATGCATGAGGCCCTGGGTTTGATTCCCAGATTCCCTCTCACCCAAACAGAATTTGTTGCTGGCTATTCAGACTACTTGGTGTTCTCTAGGTGAGGTGGGTAAAAGGTGACATTTGAGCTAGGAGTTAGGGATGAAGTACACTTGTAGGGCAGGTGGGAAGGCCACAGGTACCACCAATACCATGTTTGTCATGGTACTATTTCATTTTGATATTAATATTAGTTTCTTGGTTGGGTATGTATGTATGTTCATGTATGTGTGTACATGTATGTGGAGGCCAGAGGTCAATAATAGATATCTCCCTCAATCACCCACCACCTTTTCATTTTATTTTTTGAGACAGGGTCTTACTATATAGCCCTGGCTGACCTGGAACTCAACATATCGAGAACTCCTCAATATGTAGACTGGCTGCAAACGCATAGAGATCTGCCTACCTTTGCCTCCTGAGTGCTGGGATTAAAGTTGTGTGCCACAACACCCAGCTAGGACCACTTTATTTTTATCTATATTTTTTTAGATTTTTTAAAATTATTTTTATGTTATGTGTATGTGTGTATTGCTGCGTGTAGGTAAGTGCACCCATATCGTGCAATGCCCGCGGAGGACAGAAGAGGCTGTCGGGTGCCCTGGGACTGGAGTTACGGACAGTTGTTGCTGCCATGTGGGTGCTGGGATTTGAACCCCAGTCCTCTACAAGAGCAGTCAGTGCTCTTAACCACTGAGCCGTCTCTCCAGCCCCCTTATTTGTTTATTTTTTAATTTCTTAGCTGGGTTGGAGAGATGACTCATTGGTTAAGAGCACTGGCTGCTCTTCCAGAGGACCAGTTATTCAGTTCCCAGCACCCACATGGCAGCCTCCAGTTCCAGAGGATCCAACGCCTTCTTCTGACCTCCATGGGTATTGCACAATATGGGTGCACTGATATAAATGCAGGGAATACACTCATATACATAAAATTAAAATAATAAATAAAATATTTTTTTAAATGCTGAGCTGTTTTTTCTTTTTGGTTTTTTTTGAGACAAGGTCTCTTTTAGTAGCTCCAGCTGGCCTGGAACTGGCTATGCAGACCAGACTGGCCTCAATCTCACTGAGATCTGCCTGACTCTAGCTCCTGAGGCTTCCACCATCATACCTGGCTGTGTTGTTGTTTATGAGACAGGATTTCATGTGATCTTAGCCTCAGACTCAATAAGTAGTGCCTCCACCTCCTAGGTACTGGGATTATAGGCCTGTGCCATTGTACCACCATATCTCTTTTTCTTTTTTTTTTCTTTTTTTTTTAGTGAGGAGGGTCTCATCATGTAAACCAGACTGGCCAGACTGGCCTTAAACTCACAGAGATCTCCCTGCCTCTGCCTCCCAAGTGCTGGGATTAAAGGTGTGTGCCACCACGCCCAGCTAACTGTGGTTTCTTTAAGGAAAAGAAACCTGACCATCTCTCTCTTTTCGTCCTTGGTCCCTCCTAAACCTTGCTGCAGCAGCCACAGAACGCCAGGCCTTCCAGCCCTGGCCTGAGCGGCTTAACAACAATGTAGAGGAACTGCTGCAGTCATCCTTGTCCCTGGGAGGCAAGGAGCAGCAGACTGAGCGTAAGCCGGGACAAGAACAGCACAAGCAGGAGCAAGGACAAGAACATAAGCAAGAGGAAGGGCAGGAGCAAGAAGAGCAGGAAGAGGAGGAGGAAGAGGAGGAGACCAAACAGGAAGAGGGGCAGGGGACAGAAGAGAGCCTGGAGTCAATGACCAGTCTGCAGACAGACTCAGAGCCTAGGTTTGAGTCTGAATCTTTGTCTTCCAACCCTTCCTCCTTCACTCCCCGGGTCCGAGAAGTGGACTCTGCTCCTTTGATGATGGAGAATATCCAGAAGCTCATTCAATCAGCTCAAGAAATGGATGATATGAATCAAATGTACAAGGAAGATTCCTCCTGGAGAGGCCAAAACTCTGGCAGGTACAGGAAATCGTGACTTCCTCATGGGCCCTGCCATCCCTGCTGCCTTCTTTGGAAATGAGAAGCCCACTTGCCACCTTTGGTCCCAGACCCACTCAGACCTGCTTGAGCTTCACGCACAGCTAGTAATGGCAGTCCTCACCTGTTCTATATCCATCATTGGTTTAAGCCCCACCCTGGGTTCTGGTCTTGTCTCTGGCCTTGATTAGCACTAAAGCCTTCAGAAAGTTATTTCTCCATTTTGTTGTTGTTGTTGTTTTTTAAAGATTTATTTTATTTTGATGTATGTGTGTGTGTGTGTGTGTGTGTGTGTGTGTGTGTGTGTCTTTTTTTATATATATATGTTTTTTTTATGTATGTGTGTGTGTGTGTGTGTGTGTGTGTGTGTGTGTGTGTGTGTGTATGCCATGTGTGTGCAGATGTCTGTGGAGGCCAAAAGAGGGCATTGGATCCCTAGGGACTGGGGTTACAGGTGGTTGTGACCGCTAAAGTGAGTGCTGGGAACAAAACTTGGGTCCTCTGGAAGAGCAGCAAGTGCTCTTACCCACTGAGCCATCTCTCCAACCCCTATTTCTCCATTTTGGACCTCAGTTCCTCATTTGTAAAGCAAGGCAGTTGGTCCAAGGGCCTCTCAGGCTCCACAATGGAGGCCCTCTGCTAAACATACTGAATGCATGTGACCAAGACCAACTGCTCAGTGGTGGGGAAGAGTGGATGTGGTTTTCTCCCCGAGCCCTCTGGCCTGTCCCCACCAGTCTGTACTATCTTCTTGCAGCATCCTGCAGCTGCCCCACATGGACACCATGATAGTGCTGTGCTATTCTATTATGGAGAATACCTGCACCATGACTCCCACAGCCAAGGCCTGGAGCTACATGGAGGAGGAGATCCTTGGCTTCGGGGATTCGGTATGCCCACCATGCTATTTAATGGATACATGCCACTGGACATTCCATGGGCCTGGCACTGTGTGAGCCATGGGTGAGGGGGCTGGGCAAGGAAAGCATGAGACATAGTTGAAGAGATTCCTTGAAAGGACATCTCCAGGCCACCTTAGAGGAAGGCTCAGTACTTAGTCTGGAAGCCAGTCTGATCTGGAATGTATCCTTCAGTCCTTCAAGTTGTTAGGCTGTAAGCCACCCCTTGAATACCATTCGGCATCTTCAGTACCTAGCTATGTCTTAGATTTCAGCTCTTCCCTTCCAGAAGGTTCATAGAATCTGTTCCCACCAAGTCTTGTAATGCCATGGGATGTCAGGCCTGTCATCCCAGCTACTTGGGAGGCTGAAGCAGGAGATCACAAATTCGCCTCTATAGCATGGGCTACAGAGTGATTTCAACTTAGATCCTGTCTCAAAATTTTAAAAAAGTAAAAAGGATTAAAGATGGAGGTTGGTGGTAGAACACTATCTTAGCATGCAGAAGACTCTAGGTACAAGCCCCAGTACCACAAAAACAAAAACAAAACAGCAGAATCTATCTGTATTGGGGTTTTCTAGAAGATCAGAACCAATAGAATTTATATATATAAGGGATTTACTAGACTGACTTGCTGAATACAGTCTGGGTAGTCCATTGATGCCTGTCTCACACGGAAGAGGCCAAGAATCTGGTAGTTGCTCAGTCCATGAGGCTGGATGTCTCAGCAGCCCCAGTCTAGTGCTGAAGGCCTGGAGGATTCCTGGACAGCTGCTTGATCTTCAGTCTGCACTGGAAGCCTGAAGAAACTGATCCTAATATCAGTGAAGAAAATTCAGCAGAGGCAGCAACAGGATCATGAACTCACTAGTGAGAGTGAAGGTTAACAAAGAACGAAGTTTCCTTCTTCCATGACTGTTACCCGGGCTGCCCCCAGAAGTTGCCACTCACATTTAGGGTGGCTTTCCACACTTCAAATGATATGGTCAAGAAAATGCTTCACAAGAGTTCCCAGTGACTTACCTTTTATTTGATTACAGATCCAGTCAAATTGACAACCAAGATTAGCCATCACAAGTTCATCCCTTGTCAAACTTGACACCCAATGACATCTCTTTATGCCATGCTTAATTTCCAAATGAAAACAATAACAAGGTCTTAATTCTGCCTAACACAATATAATGATCCCACATGCACTATAAACATATTGTTTTTAGAATAGGTGGCATCCTTGAGGAATGCTTAGTCTTTTAGTGTCCCATAACTTAAATATGATAATATAGATTTACAACACTTAGCCACTGTTATTATCTCAACCGATGTTACATTACATGATAAATAGAGGAAAGAAAACACAAATATCTGCTTAATATATGTGCACATATGCACAGACATGTTCTTAACAAAATAGAACAGAAATAGTCACGTCAATTACAATTCCTGTTTCTGTAACTGGTTATGTAGCTTTAGCTGATATTTATAACTACCTTCCTCTACTACCCATTTCTTCCTCCCTCAGTGAGCACTTCAGCAGGTCTTTGTTCATTCCCTGGAGGAGTGACCCACACCTTCATCCCTAAAGAGCCTGGACCATTTTTCATCCTGCCTGGATAGAGTTGTAGTTTTCTATTGACCTTAGTCACAGAATGTGGTAACACCAAGAGATGCCATAAAGGAGCTCCTGCACTCCAGACATAATCAACTTACCACCACTGTGGAGAAGCAGTCCGATTTCCCCCTCATAGTCTGGCTCAATCACTCCTCCTAACACTGTTATTCCTTTCTTAGCCTGTGACTTAAGGGCATCACAGCCCAAAGTGGTCAGGAGGAAATTTCAACTTCCAGTTCAATGGAATGTTTGTTGTGCCTCTTGGCAGAAGCACTCCTCCCTCTGGAACCAAAGCTTTCAGGCTTGCGTTGAATAGTGTTGCAGGAACAGGAACATTTTCCTAGTGGGTCTCTAGGGGTGACAGTGAGTGATACCATTTCCATTTCCACACCTTCATTCCTGGACCTGTGAATCCTATCTATAGGAGAAACATCACCATATATTGGACACTGCCTTCTGGAGAACCCTGCCCCAGCCCTCCAGGCTGTTGCCATCTAATTGTTATTGTCTTTAAAAGACAATTGCATTGTTCTATAAAGCCAGCTGCTTCGGGGTGGTAGGGAACATGGCAAGACCAGTAAATTCCATGAGCATGAGTCCATGGCCCAACTTCTTTGGCTGTGAAGTAAGATCCTTGATCAGAAGCAATACCGTGTAGCAATACCATGACAATGAATAAGGCATTCTGTAAGTCCATGAATGGCAGTTCTGGCAGAAGCATTATGTTCAGGAAGGCAAATACATAACCAGAATAAGTATCTATTGTATATATTTGTCCAATAAGGACAAAATACTGCCTTTTCCACAATGGAAGTGGTCCAAGGTAGCCAACCTACAACCAGATCTCTGGCTGGTCACCCAGGGGAATGACGCCATAATCTGTATTAGAGTTTTCTAGAAGAACAGAGCCAGTAGAAAGAATATATGTTGCCGGGCGTGGCTTTAATCCCAGCACTTGGGAGGCAGAGGCAGGCAGATCTTTTGAGTTCATAAAGCAGATCCAATGCCTGTCCTCTTGGAATCCAGTCGGGGAGAAGGAGAAGGAAAATTTGGGGCTGGGGTGTGGCTCAGTGAAAGACTGCTTGTCCAGCATGTCCAAGGTTTGATCTCCAGCACCCCAGTTGGCAGGATGAGATAGCACTGAAAGGAGAATAAGGGAAGAGTACAAAGGAAGAGTACAGGGAACCCACAGCTCTCCGTATTTAGAATGATAGAAGAAGCCAGGCAGGGTGGCGCACGCCTGTAGTCCCAGCACTTGGGAGTCAGAGGCAGGCGGATCTCTGTGAGTTCAAGGCCAGCGTGGTCTACATAGTGAGTTCCAGGGCAGCTGGACCTGCAGGGAGACCCTGTCTCAAAAAGACCAAAAGAAAAAAAAATCTTAAAAAAAAAGAATGAAGGCTGGGCGTGGTAGCTCATGGCCTTTATTCCCAGCACTCAGGAGGCAGAGGCAGGCAGATCTCTGTGAGTTCAAGACTAGCCTGGTGTACATAGTGAGTTCCAGGCCAGCTGGGGCTACAGGGAGACCCTGTCTCAAAACAAACAAACAAACAAACAAACAAAACAAAACAAAAACAACAACAAAAAGGAATGATAGAAGAATGTTCTTTCCAGGAATTTTTTAGATGGAGACCAAAAGAGCGGGCAGGGAGGGCCCCCTTAGAAGGTTCCTAGAAGAGGGGATGGTATGTACAAAGGCTCTGAGCAGCGCGGAGGAATTGTGAGTTCATGAAGGACTCAGAATGAACACACTTTCTTGGTCTTAAGGACCTTGAGCCCCAAAGGGCAGGTTAATATAGAGCCAGCAGTATTTACAAGAGTATGCTCTAGAGAGGTTTCTAGAAACACACAAGCTCAGAGGTCATGGGAGAAAGTCCTATGGATGGCATGCTTGGATTAGGGAACAGAGTCTATTTTACTGGGCTCAGAGTGGCAGAAGACAATTTAAAAAGTTAGGGTACTAATGTAGAAGTTGTGTAACATGTCCCTTGCATGCTGCTGTACAGAGTTAGCAAGTGCTGAACTTGAGTCCAAGCCCTGTTTCCGGCTTCATCTTTGAGGACAATGGGATTAACTGAAGGTGCCACCTGGCCAGATCTTCCTGATAGTACTGAGGATACTCGTTCAGGGCCATTCAGCTAGGAGATGAGTAACTCCACTCTGGGCAGACCTTATAAGAACTTGGCAGTTTTGAGCCGAGCATGGTGGCATGTCTTTAATCCCAGCACTTGGCAGATTTCTGTGAATTCAAGGCCAGCCTAATCTACATAGCGAGTTCCAGGCCAGCAGGGGTTACAGGGAGACCCTGTCTCAACCTACCCCCGCCCCAAAAAAAGAACCTGGCAGTTTTGTTTTGAACATAGGCATTTGATGATGGTGTGTAGGTTTGAGAATTAGAAGGCCTAGATCCATGTTCAACTTTGAGCCATATATTCAACCACTCTGAGCCTTAATTTCTTCATGAATAAATGCAGATATTATTTGTTAGTACTTGAGCTATTAAATGGTTTTGTTTTTGTTTTTAGACAGGGTCTCGCTATGTAGCCCTGGTTGGCCTGGAACTTGCTATGCATACCTGAAACACAAAGGGATCTGTCTGCCTGTGCCTCCTGAGTGCTGGGATTAAAGGCATGTGGTACCATGCCTAACCGTTATTGTGTGGGTTTTTTTTTTTTTTTTTTTTTTTTTTTTTTTTTTTGTCTTTTTGAGACAAGATCTCCCTGTCTCCCCAGTGCACCTGGAACTCACTATATAGACCAGGCTGGCCTTGAACTCACAGAGATCCGCCTGCCTCTACCTCCCAGGTGCTGGGACTAAAGGTGTGCGCCACCACACCTGGCTATTATTTGTTTTTAGACAGGGTCTCCTGTAGCCCAGGTTAACCTGGAACTTGATATGTAGCCAAGATGATCTTGAATCCCTAATCCTTCTGCCGATTCTACTTCCCAAGAGGGTGAACCACTATGCCTGTTTCATTTTTTTGGAGAGCAGCTTATTATGCAGCTTAGGCAAGCCTTCAAATTTATGATCCTCCTGCCTCTGCCTGCCAGCATTATGTCACCTCTGCAAATATTAGTATTATCATTAGTGGAGTGGAGAACAGGATTACGGGTCCTTTTCAGATTGGTTAAGCAAGGGTGATGTGTGTGTCAGCTGATGGGAGATGCCTATCAGTCACTTGGCAAGAATTTGGAGCTTGGGGAAGAAATCTGAGCTAGTGATATAAAAATTTGGGTGCGATCTGCAGGTAAATGAAAATTAACTAGGCTCACAGAAACCATCGCAGAAAAGGGGCCAGAAAGAACTGAGATGAGGTTCCTGAGGAATCCTTGGGAAAGAGGACAGGAATTAAAAACAGAAAGCTAGCAAAGGGCCTTGAGGCAAATGCATCCAACATCCTGGTGGTGGCTCTAGAGGGCTGATACAAGCACGAGGGCAGCCTGCCAAGCCTCAGCCTCTCACTCACACTCCTGTCCCAGGTCTGTGACAGTCTTGGACGGCGACACACAGCTGCCTGTCCCCTCTGTGCATTCTGTTCCCTGAAGTTGGAACAGTGCCACACTGAGGGCAACGTGCAACGGCAGCAGTGTGATGCTTCCCACAAGACATCCTTCATCAGCCCCTTGCTCTCAGCCCAGAGCATATCCACCGGCAACCAGGTACCTCACTGGGCAGGCTGCAGTGGGGCTGTGGGAAGGAGGCTTGGAGGGAGGGAGACATGTGCCTCTCACTTGTCTTCTGTGTATAGGCAGGGATCCCGGAAGGAGGCCGCTTTTTTGGGCTAGATATGTACGGTGGGCTCCGCATGGACTTCTGGTGTGCCCGGCTTGCCACAAAGGGCTGTGAAGATAACAGAGTCTCCAGCTGGCTCAAGGCTGAGTTCCTTAGCTTCCAGGAAGGGGATTTCCCCACCAAGGTCAGACCGTTTTCTCCAACCTCAGCTCCCAACCTCACCAGGTTCCTTCCAGGTTTTCTTGTTCTGGGAAGCCCAAGGATGAGGAAAGAGTTTAAGATTAGTCCTCAGGGATATCCTGCCATTCTTCAACAGACCACTGCATACCCTTCCCCAAGTACAGTAGGGTTACATTGGATAAAGTAATAGGAACCCTGCCCAGTGGGAGACAAGAGATGGAGATACAGGTTCTAGTCCCAGCTCTGCCAGTTACTTGCTGAGTGGCTTTGGTCAAGTCTCTGCCTACTCCAGGCCAAAGTTCTGTTCACTGCTACAGTAAAATATTAGAAGCCACCCAGCCCTGTGATGCCTGCCTCCCTGCTTCAGCCTGACAGCCTTCTTCTCATCTCTTCCAGTGCTTTCCCCACATCAGCTCATTTCTCCTCTTCCAAAGTTACCTCCTCCAGGGAGTTAATTACCTATTGTTGCTGAGAGCCAGGCCCCACCCCTCCTGTGGTTTGATAGGAGGAGCCCAGGCAAGGAATAGAAGTAACTTCCCAAAAGTGCTGGTTCGGGCTGTGGGTGTGACTGTGTGGCAGAGCACCTGCTTGGCATCCTTCTCTCTAGCATGAAGAGATAAGAAAAAAAGAAAGGCTGGGAGTTGAGCTAAGGACTGTTCCCTTATGCGATGTATGGTGGGCGCTGCATGGCTATTCTTGTACTTGGACCCCTAAGATCCGGAAGAACCTCAGGAAATATCTCGGCCTCCTCCATAGATCTATAGACAGGCAGCGAAGGTTCACAGAGTAGTGAATGATCCACTGTTATCCATTAGAGACTCTCTGCCCTCCCCCCTCACTCATCACCAGAGTAATTGGACCACTAATTGGGTCACCTTCCTGAGTTCTACACTTTGTGTGTGTATGTGGATGGAACCCAGGGCCTTGGGTATACTAAGCCTGCCCTTGGCCATTTATCTGCTCCCTCCCCCAGCTGATGTGCTGGACCCTTGACCATCTCTCTCTATTCACTCCCAGTAAACTGACCAATAGGGCAGGCCCTTCTGATTCTCCCCACCTCCTGACTGTTTCCCAGGTGGGTGGGAGGACAAGGGTAGAGGGAGAAGAGGCCTGTTCCTCAGAGAGAGAGAGAGTCGGGGGCACCCCAGGTATGTAAGACCTGGTTCCTTGCCCAGGTCTGCTATTATCCATACTCTAGGGACTGGTGACCTGTTAGTATTCTGATATCTTGTTCCCTTCCCTGACTCCGGGTTTAGGTTTGTGACACAGACTATGTCCAGTACCCAAATTACTGTTCCTTCAAAAGTCAACAGTGCCTGATGAAAAACCAGAACCGAAAGGTAAGCAATCCTCCACCCATCTACCTCCCACCAACCCCTTAGTCAGCCACCTAGGACAGTCTGTTCTGAGTCCCTCTTTTCCAGAAACTGGGCTGTGGAGAGCAGTTCCCTACTTGCATCTCTGGGGCAAAGGCCTCCATACAGTGCCTCTTCCTCTTCTCAGTTTTGGAGTGAGCCAGGCTCCCTCAGAGGGCAGGGGAGGCTAGCATAGATAAGAGGGATGGGTCTTGAGGGCACCACAGGGAGAACCCTCAGCTGGCCTGGGAACTGGATGGTGACTTTCATTCTGGCCTTCTAATCTTACTCATCGGGTAGTCTGGAATAAGATACTTCCTCCCTGAGTCTTAGCTCATTTCCTAAAGGAGGTTGAACTACTTAAAAACCGCCATCCAAGTTTCTGTCTTCCCTCTACTACCTATGCCTGCTTCTGACACCTCCTTACCTCATGCTTCTTGTGTGCCTCTGAGACACAGAACCTATGTATATATCCCTTGTAGGTGTCCCGCATGAGATGTCTGCAGAACGAGACATACAACGTGTTGACTCCGGCTAAAAGTGAGGACATTATACTTCGATGGAGCCAGGAGTTCAGCACTTTAACTCTAGGCCAGTTCGGATGAACTGGGGTCTGTGCTGTCCCCACCCTAGCCCTTCCTTTCTACCTTTTCCATTGCTTTTAGACCTCATCTGTCAGTTGGCTTCTAGGTGCCCCTCACAGGTCTCTTACCTGGCCCCTACTCACATTTTCCTTGGGTTGGGACAGCAGTCCCAGAGAGGTCTGTGATGGGAACTCCATCTGCTGAAGAACATATTTATATAAAGTGTTTATTTTCAGCCTGTGTACTCTGTTTTGGTATGATCCCCATCTTCAGCAAGACTACCTTACTCTCTGAGAATCTATCTCCAGCTCTTAATTTTAGGGATCCACCTGCAGGTAAAAGGATGTCATGGGAATGGCATTCAGGGAAGAACCCTCTGCCAGGAGAAGCAGCAGACCTAAGCAATCAAGGAGTTAACTGAAGAGGGGCGTGGCTGGGATCTGAGGGGTTATGTGGATTGTGAGGGCATGTAGGTCTTCATTTCTGAAGCTCTGGGCTTCATGAGTTCAGACTGAGTGTAGGATTTTCTTACTTTTTAAAAATTATCTATCATCACCAGGCGTGGTGGCGCATGTCTTTAATCCCAGCACTCGGGAGGCAGAGGCAGGTGGATCTCTGTGAGTTCAAGGCCAGCCTGGTCTACATAGTGAGTTCCAGGCCAGCTTGGGGCTACAGGGAGACCCTGTCTCAA